TTCATTAAAAGACCTTCTAGTTTGCATTCACCAACCAAAACACAAAAGACTCAACAAGACAACGCAGCACAACAATGTCAAAGAAAATTAACTAAATGCAAAACCTAAGAAACAATTTTACTAAGCAACACAAAACAAAACTAAAACAAATCTAAAATCTAACGAAACATATACTTAATGAAATTTCCCACGACAAAATGTTAATCAAAACTAAAATTTATCAATGCAACTAAAAGAATAATACTAAGGACAAAAATTAAATCTAGGAATAAAAGAAAAATCAAAGGTTAAGAGAATTTCACAATCGGGACGTGTAGGTATCTTCAATTCTCACGACACGCTGAAGCGTTTTCCCAATTGCCATTTTCCTGCAAAACAAAAACAAAACACAAATGAAACTATTCCAATGAAAATAAAATGAAAATAAAATAGAACAGAGTAAAAATGAAATTACGCAAACAATAAAAAAGAAAATAATAACTAAAAAGCAAAGAGACAAACTAAACGGGACAAAAAATTAAACAATTCACCCAAACAAATAATCACAAGAAAGAAAATAATACAAACAAAACAAACAAAACAACAAGACTAAAATAAACCTAGAATTAAAAACTAATAACTACCAACACACAAAGTCAAAAGCAACATGCTCCCCGGCAAGGGCCAAAATTTGTTTAGACACGAGTCATGGTCTAAAATTAAACCTAATTACCGTAGTAGCGGTAAGCAGGATCGAACCAAGGGAGCAAGACTAACAACCTAATGGATTTTAGTAGCGGAAATGAAATTGCAATGGATAATGAAACTAAATAAACTAGATGCAAATAATGAAATAGTGAAATTAAAACAAATAAAGACTTTATAATAAAAATGTTGCGTTAGGTTTTGGTTCGACACGAGACCGACTCACACAATTCTCCTCCACCTCTTACGATCCCCTAAACCTACACGGCAAGGTAAATCAATGAAATGGTTTCCCGACACTAGGTATAATCTATCTGTCTCACCCGATCACTCAAGTTCGATTGGTTAAAGACTATCATTGAACGTCGAAAACGCTACAAGGTAATACCACCACTTGGTACGCGATTAACAAATACAATTTGTCAACACGTAATATCCAATCAACCAACTTCACAATAAGCGAACATAGTAGAAATTAATTAAATCCGAAACAAACTCAATTACAATCGATGTGAAGAATGAAAAGCAATTCATCATTTAATTATTCCAAACCAACGTTATCATTCAGCAAGTTCTATGAAAACATTAAATCATAATGGACAACATATTAATCACACGTATGCTCAAATCATATTAAAGTATCGAAACAATCATGAAACAAAAACAAATATAATCCGAAGCACAATACTACCAAATGTCCTATAATCAGGCTCATCCAACTAGTAGGAGGCTGATGAGGAGAGTCATGGAGTCAATCCCGATCGCCTATGCCGTAACAGACAAAGGGAGCTTAGCGCTCATGGTGGTGATGATGGAGGCCGAAACGATGGGAACAGAGCTGACCATGGGCGAGGAGGTAACCGATAGCAATATGATGTGAAGAAGGGGCAAAAAAGACCAACGGACAGCCGGAATACGAACAGCCGCGGTCGCTGGAAAACGTTAATTTCCAGCGGGTCTCCGGAAAAACGGTGGCGGAAATGGATTCGAAGGTACCGATGGAAAGCTCTGGTGATGGGGAGTTCAGATCAGGTCCGGGGAAGTGAGAAGTCGTCGGAAATGAGCAGGATCTGGCCTGGAAGATGAGAGTCGCGGCGGCTAAATCACGGATTCCGACGGTTTCCGGCGGCTGAAGCTAGGGAAGTGTAGATCCGACTGTGGGGAAGGTGGATCGACCCTTGGGAGCCAATCATAACCCGAAAAACGGCCAAAAACTAGCCGGGAAGACGAAACGACGCGGTGGAGGGAAGATGAAACATCGCGGCAGCTTCGTGATTCACGGTGGTGGTCCGGGAGATGGGATGACGGTGATCTGTGGTCGAGGAAGCCGAAGAGTTGCCGAAAATGGAAGACGAAGGGTCGCAGAAAACGTGTATGGATGGCGCCTCCTGTTCACGCGATCTGCACTTTCTTTTATAGAACATATTGTAAAATATTGTTGGTCCCTGCACAATTGAAAAGTGACAAAATCAGCCCCTTAAAAACATGACATTTTACCCCTAAATAGCATAAATGAGACAAAATAACCTCTAATCCATAAACCACAACCCAATATCAACTCATATATTTGGTCCAAAATCATTCCAAACACGTTAAATTCATAAGAAAAATATTAGGAAGCGATTTTCGTGAATAAATTCATAAATTCTTTAATTGTCTCAATATACTTCAATTTAATCACAAATGGGGTATTTTTATCACCAAAATAGAGTCACTTTCATGACTCTAACAAGAATGATGCTAGTGCTTTGTTGGGATATAGCTTGCTACAAACAGAGCTTGAGCTTGTGTAATAGGTTCATGTGAAACGCCTGAGTAAGCTTGTCCATTATTCACTTGAGATGGAAGAGATGCTGACTAGACTTGAGAAGGGTTAAAATGATTGAAATTGGAGCTTTGAAAGCCCTGATAATGATGGTCAAAGCGATGATAACATTGAAGAGCTGAGTGGCCAGTTTTGCCACATACTTGGCAGATTAATCTAGGCTTGAAATGCCCTCTGCCTCGACCTCTTCCTCTCAATCCATTAATACTGTTAAACTGAAATCCACCAGGAACTGAGTATTGAGGGATTGTAGTGTGAGGAAATGCAGTGGTATACATGTCTGCATTAGAGAGTTGCTGAGGATATACTTCTTGATGTTGATAGTTCACCATGCCTGGCTGAACCATCGGTGAAGAGTGGGTGTTCTGAATTCCAACTGGTTGAACCATAGATACAGAACTAGGATTTTGAAATGGTATCCCTCTAGAGCTAGTATTCTGGAATGATGATACTACATGACTTTGAAGTGGTGGCACACTAGTAATATCAGTTGGAACTTGCTGCTTTGCAGCTAATAATGCAGAAGTCATTTCATGAAAATTTGACAGTGTACTATTTTGTCTTTCAATCCGCATCTCATGTTTATGAAGAAGCAACTGAGCTTCTTGAAGGGTAGCAGTACTACTATTGGCTGCAAGATTGGCCACCATAGCATCAAATTCTGGTCCTAACCCATCCAAGATATACAAGAGCAGTTCCTCATCTCCTATTTGAACTCCACTAGCTACTAATTCATCCCCTATCTCTTTCATCCTCAGAATATATTCATTAACACTCATCGAATCTTTCTTAGTATTTTACAACAAATTCCGCAAGTGTAAGGTTCTAGCCTTAGAGAAAGATTGAAAATACAACTCCAAAGTGTTCCAAATTTCATATGCACTTGTGCATTTGGCAACATGCCTAAACATAGGTTTAGAGATAGATGAAATTAACCAACTCACTAGAAATTGATCAGTCTTTTTCCAATCAAAATACTTAGGGTTAGGTTTCTTGATTATTCGTTCAGAATCTAACATCTGTTCATTTAAAAACATGGAGGGACACGGATATCATTTTAACCCTTCTCAAGTCCAGTCAGCATCTCTTCCATCTCAAGTGAATAATGGACAAGCTTACTCAGGCGTTTCACATGAACCTATTACACAAAGCCATCAAGCTCGTACGAAGTCAGCGCAGGTAGAACTTGAGATCTCCAGTAGTTGTAGTTCCTCTTGCTTAACTTGACTGACAGAGTTGGAAGAGAAGAATGGGCAACTGAACTCATGGTGCCTACATTATCAGCTTGCTCATTAACAATCTTTGAACTCGAATCTAAAGATCCAGAACTCAGATTAGCCATAGACGTTTGTCAATTGGCTCTGATACCATAAAGATTCTTTACCGGATTTAAAAAGAAAGTTAACTAAAACTAAAGACTTTGAGAGAAACGGTTGAACATATAACAAATAGAACTGAAAACTTTTTTCTTTAAATCTGGAACAGAGCAGGTTGCGTTTTTATATCAGGAAGATGATATAAAAACGCCAGCGTATTGAGTTTAATACAAAAGTACATCATATTGGTGTTTAACAATGAAACCCAATCTACTTTCATTCTTTACACTTTAACCCAAACTTGTTTTGTCTAATAGCAACTAGTTCTAAATAATGCTCTCACGCCATACATTCATAACAGTGCATAGGTCACAGGACCCTTGCATCTCATGGCGCATTGATCAAGGGGAAGTATTAACCAAAGAAGTAGGTACCAGTACAAGACGAATACAAAATCTCCCCGGTCAGGTTTGACGGGGAATGTTGGCAAAAAGGGATGCAGATGCAAAACTAACAAATAGCAGGAGTTGTTCAATCTTTGTCAAAGCGTCGTCATTTTGTCCTTATATCAATTAAGTCAGTTTCTGTTAAGTAGTTGAGCTGAGGTCTGAATATTGTATAAGAAGAAGAATGACTCTCGTGTATTCATTCTGTTACATTCAATTAAAATAAAGAAATCTAGAATCTCTTTCGATTGGCTTTGTACTCTTACCTGTTTCTTGAACTTTCTTTCGTTTTCCCACAAAATGTAATTAAACTAAATTCATAGTGGAATTGACTTGATAATAATATTTAAAAATCAGATGAATCTGATACAGTTATTCAATCAGATACGTTCCAATGGCAACACTCAAAACATCTTTGCATGTAGTACCAAAATATCACAAACTAGGACTACTAATTTACTCTAAGCTTAGTATAATCTTTATGTTGCTGTTAGGTTGGTAACTAAACAAAGGAAAAGCAAGGTTCAGATAACCCCAAATATAAGTTTTTATTATAATACAACACATCAACGTAAAAGCTTGTAAATTCAATAAATGAAAATTATAAACTAAATACATAACACTCATAGAATAGACTTATAGAATACAATATAATAGCCAAAGCCTAAAAATATTTTTTTATTTGAATATTATTATCAATCTAATAATATCAATATCCTTCTGCAGATGCTAATAAGGAGGAGGTGTTTTCTCAGTCAGGTATTTTCCAACTGTTACTGCAAGTGTTTCCACTAACTCGGTATTTACTACAGAAGTAAGATTTGTTAACTTATCATCAAGCTCATACTCTATTGTTGATATTATAATACTTGATGTAGAATTTTTCTCAATAATTTTATATTGAGTTATATAACGACTAAAGCCCAGTGCTATAAATCCTCCTTCAATGGTTTCTGTTTCTTTCACACGCTTCTTATTATCAACCTTTGTAATCATTTCCTTCATATAACCAAAATACCGGAGTTCCTGAAACAAAAAAACAAACAAAAATTTTTAATATTCAGTAGTTCAAATAAATGTTTGATAAATAATATGAATTAATTTACCTGGTGGAAATGTAACGTTCAGAAGTGTGCCAACATGTCCATCACCGTCAAGCACTTTTACAGTTCCAAGCACATTGGCAGAAATGTATTTATAATTGTGAGGACTTGAAGGGTGCCGTAGAAATCCCACACCGAGCAAGCCGATGCAGCCACCACCGTATTTGCTGGCAACAAGCCCGTGCATTTTGATGTTATGAATTTGGTTTTTGGTGAGTTGGTTCATTATTGTGGTAGGTATTATAATGGTTTATTCGAAGACAAAGTCATAGATCAAATTAGAAAGGGCCAACGTTGTTATAAACTACCATTTTAAATATTATCAATTAGTAAGGTAATATTAGGAGTAGCCAGAATTTTCTCACCCAGGCTGGACTTTTTGTTTGTTTTAAGGATAAAAACTTGCCTCATCAAGGACTTTTTCTTAAGCAGGGGATGAACAGCAATGGCAGACCCGGGTTAAAGACTTAGTCAATCTTTTTTTTTTTTTTTAATATTATATTAGATTGTCTTTATATTGATCTAACCCTAGTAGTAAACACGGGTACGGCAAAAAAAGGTACTGGAATTTTACGGGTATAATATGCAAATGGTGAAAAATACATTTATGAATATTCGGTCATAAAATTCGGATACGGAAAAAATATGGTACGGGTACATATGAGTTTAATACGGTGTATTGTCAATAATACGTTTTGAAAAATACGGCAATCAGGAATTGACTCTTGTATTTAAAGTTGAAATAGGAAGTCAATCTTGCTATGAAATTTCTATATGTGACCTAAAGTTTAGATATAAAATTTTTGCAATCAAGAATTGACTCTTGTATGTAAAAGTGAAATAGGACTGCAAAATTTTGTCTTTTACAATAAAATATAATAAATTTTCGGTGAATTGTTATCAAAATCTCGTTTTTCAAAAAATACAAACATTTGTACGAGACATGGTTGATGTATAATAATATATGTGGTGTGACCAAATCAAAGCTCAAACTTCTTCGCAAGAAACCTCAAGATAGAACCAGAAAAAGCCATTAATGGCGGTAAAAACATAGCCATCTTGCACCATCAACATCCTGATATATAAGCATATGCTTCCTCATGGTTAACTAAGAAACCTGCAATATTCACAAGGCCCTGGCCTTCAGGAAAATTCTGACAATGGGTAGCCTGAAACTATTGCTTTCTTCTGGACCCTAAACCCTGATTGCTTTTGCAATCTTTCCATTATACAGGATTACATTCCAGGAGTCTCACTAATACACACCGAAGATCAATATTCTCCAGTGCCTGGAACATCAGCTCCAAAATCTCCCCCAGCTTCATGGCTTCTGCAGCTTCACCAGATCCTTCATGGCCTATTCCATTGACCCCCACAATCGTCACCGCCATGTCTCAACTTTATCCTCCAGCTCCTTCATCCAACGGATTCAAAGAGAAGGAAGTGTCAAGTGTGTACCTTGAAGTCCTGAACTTGAAGCTTGGAAAAAAAGGAGTTAAAAAGAAGAGAGAGAAGAAGAGATGAAGACCCAAGAGAGAGAAAAAGCTGAAAACGTCGGAGAAACTAAGGAAAAAAAAGCTGAAAATGTCTTCCGTCGAAGAACTAAGGAAAGAAAGAACCGAGAAGAAAAGAGATTTTGTTTTAATTAGATTTTGAGTCAAAACCTACTAAAACGACGTCGTTTGGGGAGGTGGCAATTGGTTTTTTTTTTTTTTTTTCTGTTGCAATAATTCGCGAATTATACAGATATTTATTTATACGCGTATATTTGAAGTCCTATAAATACATAAATACGCGTTTATACAGATTGACTAAGTACAATCCTAACTTCACTAGAGCCATCTAAGAGGTGTTTTAAAAAAACAAATAAAAAGAGAGATGTTGTATTTTAGCCCGACTAATTTTTTTTTAGTCCCCATTTGTCAAAATTTTAAATTAAAAAATTTTGATTTAAAATTGCGAGGATAAAACAACGCTTGATAAAATTTTATAAGTTTTCACTAAAATGTTTTATAATATTTTTAGGATTGCGTTCATCCGTTTTTAAAGAAAACTGAATTAAAAAAGTTGTTTTAAGCAAAGAGGCATTTATAAAGTTAAAGCCCCCTATTTATTAATGCAAATTTCGCAATTGCCATATAAAGAATAAAAGAAAAAAAAAAAAAAAAAAAAAAAAAAAACAATTTATTTACATACATGTTTATCTATTATATTATATCTACCTGAAGGATTAGCGATGGACTTGAAAGAAAATAAACGAATTGAATGAATTGAGAGAGAAAGAAGAACGACTCTGTTTTTTTCTTTTAAAATATTTTAGTTAATACAATATTAGCTACAGAAGACATATATAGTGATACAAAAGCCACGTGTGTGACAGTTTTATTTCTTACAAAAAACAACCTACTTAACTTCTAATCTTTGCAGAGACAACCCTGCTTCTTATACTTGTTTCCAATATCTTCCCGTAAGCCAAAAACCCTGAACAACACAGCTGAGCTTTCTATGATCAATATCTTCCCGTAAACCAAAGTCCTTATGAGGACTGCATAAACATCTATTCCAATTTTCAAGCCATATCACAGACATATTTCCTGCTGCAGAGATTTTAAGCCTAATCTCCTACTGCAAACTTTTAATATATCACAAACATGGAAACTGCAGAAAACACTGCAAACTCAACTGTGTAAACTTCAACTGCATTAACAACAAATCTCCTTCTGCAAGACTTTTACTATATCACAAATATGGAAACTGCAAAAACACTGACAACTTCAACTGGCAAACTTCAATTGCATTAACAACAAATCTCCTTCTGCAAAAACTTTACTATATCACAAACATGGAAACTACAGAAACACTGCAAATCTCCTTCTGCAAAAACTTTTGCTATATCACAAAACATGGAAACTGCAGACAAACACTGCAAACTATATCACACCCCATGAGAATGCACATACACTTCTGCGCATTTTTCACACCAATATTCCCCAAACAACATTCCAAATTTCAAACTTAATCAAGCCAACATTCAGCAAAATTCCTGCACATATTTCTATGAGAACTGCACATATTTCTGCTGACTTTCAAACCAATATTCTCCCAAAAACATTTCAACTCTCAAACTTAATCAAGCAACACATTCAGCAAACTTTTTTCTGTACAAACTAACTTCAACTGCATTTCAAAACAAAACTTCTGCAACTTTCAAACTTAATCAAGCAACACTTCAACAAACTTTTTCTGTACAAACTAACTTCAACTGCATTTCAAACAAAATTCTGCTATAACAACTACAAGCTTCAAACAATCATTTAGCAAAATTTCTGCACAAACTAACTTCAACTGCATTTCAAAACAAAACAAAAAAACTTGCTCTATAACACTACAAGCTTCAAATGTAGTATCAGCAAAATTCTTCTACACACACTGCACTGTTTTTCTATACACTGCAAAATACACGCCACTGTTTTCATACTCTGCAAAATTTTACAATCACACAAATCAGCAAATTTCTAACTGCTCTGCTTCAGAAGTGAGCTTAACTGTAATGAGCACATTTCTATTTCATCACAAACTGTATCTCTGGCTGTTGTGATCACTTTGTACAAATTCAGATTGACAGTTAGCTTATCCCTTAGCATAGCAAAAAGTGAACAAGAGAGGAGCTTTAGTTAGAACATTAGCTATCTGATATTCAGATGAAACATACTGCACATTTACAATTTTGTGTAACTAATTCCCTAATAAAATGCACATCAATTTCGATGTGCTTTGTTCGGGCATGAAAAACCGGATTGGAGGATAATGCCCCAGCACTCATGTTGTCACACCATATGACAAGAGTGTTATTTATGTGAATGCCAAGTTCTTGAATAGGTTCTGAATCCATACAAGTCAGTGGCTGTTGACTCAAAGATCTGTATTCAGCTTCTGTAGATGATAAGGACACTACCTTTGTTTTGTAGATGACCATTGGACCAAGTTGCCTCCAAGAAAAAACAGTGTACCACACTGGTGGATCTCCGATCAGTTTCATCTCCAGCCCAATCAGCATCGAAAATGCTTCTAAAGTAAAAGGCTGCTTCTTTGTAAGAGAATGCCATGCTGCATGTTCCCTTAACATATCGGAGAATTCTTTTACATGTGCCCAATGAGCTTCAGTGGGCTGCTGTAAGAACTGGCTGAGCTTGTTTACAGCAAAGGCCAAATCTGGTAGAGAGAGTGTAGATATTGAAGGCTACCAATGACACTTCTATACAATGTGGGCTGATCAAACACCTTACTATCTTCCTTTCCAAGTTGAAGACCAGTAGCCATGGGGGTGGAGCAAGGCTTTGAGTCTGCCATCTGCCTTTAAGACCAGATCATAGTGCATATTTAGTCTGGGACAGTAGTAATTCAGACTCATTTCTCTTTACCTCAAAACCCAGGAAGTACTGCACTGTAAAGAGTTTTTAGGGCAAATTTGCTATTCAAGTCAGCAATCAAACTGGATATGGCTGAGAATCATTCCCTGTTACAAGGATATCATCTACATACACTAAAGATACATTAGCTTGAAATCCTTTTGTAAAAAAATAAACTTACATTGAAACAGAGTTTTCAAAACCCCAATTAATCAATGCAGCTTTGAGTTTGTCAAACCAAGCTCTAGAGGCTTGTTTTTAAGCCATACAATGCTTTATGAAGTTTACAAACCTGCGCAGAATGACCCTTGGTTGTGCGAGTACCAGAATACCTTCAAGAGGAAGCATAAAGACTGTTTCAGAGAGCTCCCATTCAGGAACGCAGTTTAACATCAAAGCGGGAGTTCCCAATTTTGATGTACTGCATAGGATAACATCACTCTGATTGTGGCTGCTTTAACAACAGGAGAAAATGTATCAAAGTAATCTAAACCAGGTGTTTGTTGGAAGCCTTTAGCAACCAACCTGGCCTTATACTTCTGAAGAGTCCCATCAGAATTTAACTTTGTTCTAAAAACCCATTTACACCCTACAACATTCATTCCTTCTTCATAAGGAACAATCTCCCATGTGTTATTGCTCATCAATGCCTGATATTCAGAGTCCATGGCTTGTTTCCACTCAGGGCTTAACAATGCTTCAGTAACTGTTTTAGGTTCTGGAAGAATAGAAGTGTGTTTAACTTCAGCTTGATAAGCAATGGAACCAGGATTAGGAC